CTTACTGCGGTTTTTAAAGTTCCAACTCGATCGTTCTCATATATATTCACTCCATATCCCATAGATGTGGAGAGGGATGGCTACCTTATTCATTGGAACAAGGTGTCAGCTGCGCCTTCGGCGAATATTACCTATGACAGGATGCTAGTTTCCTCAAATGGAAATATCCGTGAAACTAACACTCCACAACATGTCCTAATGACGTGCGCAGACACGCCCACCCCTCCAGGATATGTAGCGTACTACAGCAGAGTTCAGCCCAGTCATGTTGAATAAAAATCAAGAAATTACAAGCAAAAAAAAAAGATTACTTTTCAGTGATGGTTCCGAGAAGCTGTAGTCCAGGCAAGATCTCCGCCTCCGGATTGTTTGTCTCTACTGTTGTAGATACCATGGCAACGAACCATCCCTTCGGTGTGACCATATTCGTATTCGAGCAGCAGGAGATGTAAATGTCTACGAAAAGAAAATTATGATCCTCTCTTATAACTGCCCTGCATTTCATGACCTACCAAAATGCCTTCCCACTTGCTTTTGAGGAATGATGATTTGACACGACTGAGCATCGTTCGTGCCAGGAATCGGGTGATTCAGAAGGCAAATGGCTCGAACAACTTGGCCAACTTTCTTCACCTTATCCATAGCATAGGATGGATCGCAGTACACCTGACAATTTTCAGCTAACTAACTGCTATTTGAAAATCCAGCACAGGCTGCGTTCACATTATGGATATCAAGCTAGTGAGCACCAGCGTATAACAGCACCGTTTTCGCAAGCAGTTTTGCTCAAGCTCAAATTGCCCGCGAAAACGCCGGCTTGCTCGATCGATATCCATATTTTCCTGGCGCTGGCGTACACTGGCATACGATGGCGTTCGCTAGATCGGAATTTATACTTTCCTGAACACTGCGCTGGCGTACGCTCGGAACGCCGCCGTAAGCTGGCGTACGCTGACCAAAACATGAACGCAGCCTCATCAGGAATAAAACGGCGTCCCTGACTCGAACAATTTCATTGAAACATCAAACAATACCTGTTTTCCGCGAACAGTCTCCTCTCCACATTTGACGCCGACCACTCTTCCGTTCTCTATGATCAAACCGTCTACTGGCTTATCTAACATATAAGTGCCTCCATAAATTGCTGACAAACGAGCAAAACCCTGGAAAAAGATATCCAGGTTGGCAGAGAAATAGCGAAATGCGAAGAAAAAGTACCTGAGGTAGTTCTCCAAGACCGTACAGAGGATAAAGGTATGGAGACTTCCCGTAGCGAGCCAAGGAGTCAGAATAGAGACGAATCTTCTCAACAGTTGGACCAAATGGCTGCTGCTTGTAGCTGAATTGATGTCAGCTTGAGCAAAACTGATGGAGGGCATTATATCATTTCACTTACTCATCATCTCGATACAGAGCCAAAGCGTGACCGGTAAAGTCAGCAGTGTTGTCGTCGAGGCCAAATTTCTCATACACCTAAACCCAGGCAATTAAGATTTTTTGAGAATTTTCAAAAAAAGGAACAACGAGAAGAGAAATGTGAACCTGCTGCATGGTGTGAACATCGGGGTCGAGACCTTGCCATGTATCCTTGTTGACCTTATCAAATCCTTGCACCCAACAAAGGAACTTTTTGAAACGACGTTTCTCAAACATTCCCATCAAACTGGTGGCCAAGGCTTCCATTTCATCAGCAGGCACTTTGTAAACCTACAACCACGTGTACACTATGTACAGAGACATATTTAAGAACACTTAGGAGACGCGAAATTCGGGGTAATTCGGCGACGAGGGGAGGGGTGGGGGCATCTTTGCTGCTTCCCATCGACGTGTCGAGCTATCTGGAGAGCTATATTTTGAGTTCAACAGAGTTGACAATTTTTTATAATGATGGCTCGACCAGCTTGCTCCGCCTTGCAGAGTTCACAGGTTTCACCAGAGTGAGACTTGTAAACCGGAACTAGTGAAGCAGCGAAAGTGCAAAATGCCCCCCCCCCCTGTCGCCGAACTGCACCCAAATTTCAAAGTATAGCAAGAAGACTTACCTTTCCACCTTTGTAAACATACGATCCTTCAACAGACTTGAACTCAAGATATCGAGTGACACCAGTATGGATAAGAAGCTTAACTAAAGACCCATTAGCCATGAGAAACTTCGGAATCAAGTCCACGTTCCAGTCACGACCACGACCCATCTCCGGAGGGGGTTTGGCATTTGGACCTGAAAAAGGAGTTTAATATTTTACGAAGTGACAGCTCCTACGTTCGACCGTCACACGCAGACAAGAGCACGAGCAAAAAAAAACACACACACACATAAAAGGGTAAAGGAAAAAGTATTGGCATTCATCAATCCCTTTTTCGAGATTCGGCACGCATTCTGTTCCCACACAGAATTATAGTGGTTTACAGAGAACAAGATGGCCCCTACAATGACATGTGGAGCCAGCCGATAAACAAGACCGTTTCGAAACTCCCAGACGAATCACGCATCAATTTACCGTCCCAGGGGCTAGAAGGCTTGGCTGCCCTGGGCGCGAGCCGATCTGGGATTTGACCTCCGAACCGCATGTGCAAGCGTGGCACATGCTTTTATACCACCTCCATCTCTTAACAAAAAACCACATCGTCATAAAAACTGCGACTGAAGCGAAAATGGTAAGACCTGAAACGAACCCATAAATTTCTCGTACAGCTGCTCAAGGGGAGTCAGCGACGCCGATTCCCCTCCATAGTAATTGTTTCTGTCGATATGGAGAACCTTTTTGCCCGAAACGGAGAGCATACCAGAGATTATACACTCCTGAATAGTAGTGGCATAAAGTTCAGATCACATACAACCCGGTGTAAATCCAAACTGAACCTTAAGGCCCGTTCCGAGAACAATTGCGTCGTATTCCTCATCCATCGTTGGTTACAGGAAGAAGCTAGCTGTGCAAAACTATATTTTTTCAAAGCAAAACCATTAGCGATATAAAATGTGAAGCGGAGCACCAGTAGATATTCTTGCCAAACAAACAACATTTTCTTGAAACAATTCCAATGAGTACAAAATTTATTTTAAAAAAAGGTCTATGATATTATTATTATAGCATTAACTCTTAACAGCGATCAAAGCGTAATTGACAGCTGTTGACGGTGTCCAAGACCACACATTCGTTGCCGGATTGTATGTGAAGCCAGCGATAGCCCTTAACAGTAAATAAATTTTAATTCACAGACAGGCAGCTTGCGAATGAATAAATGGAGTGTTCTAACCTGACACTGCAGCCATTCCGTTCAAGAATCGATGAAAGGACGTCAGGTTCCACAAATTTCTCCCACTGATGAATTCCTTGCGGCACGATATTTAACACATTCTTAACGCATGACGAAAGTTTAAACAGGTCACTACTAACTACAGAACTACACTACCAGGGGCGCAGTTCGGCAACGGGGGGGGGGTAGCATTTTGCACTTTTGCTACTTCTCATCGACATGTCGAGCCATCAAGTTCAGATCTGTGAAATCTTGTAAAGCCACGAAATGATACCAGCCAGTCTGTACAGACCACATGTCTAGCACGTACTGCCGCTGCTGAAAATTCTCGGAAAAGAACCCACCCCTTCCTCATCCACCAACTTTTCCCAGCCTCCTACCACATTTTCCAGAACTTCCCAAAAATTTCCGAGACAACAGGGAAACAAGGGCGAACAGGTACCGCCCCCCCCCTCCTTAATAACGAGCAAATACGATCCCCCTCACTGGCATTTCTTCAACAATCTGAACAACGCCTGTGAAACAAGAAAAACCAACTATCAAAAAAGTTTTCTCAGACCACATACGACCCCTTCCCTCCTGGGGATTTCCCAACGTTGGACGTGCCCCGCCACATGTCAACCCTTGTAAAGCAATGTTATGCCATACAAACCCTATCTGGTGGCTCGACGAGCTTCCTCCAACTTCACAAAGATTACAGGTTTCACCAGGGTGAGATATGTAAATAGAGCAGCGAGAGTGCGTATTCCCCCCATCCGTCGCTGAACTGCGCCTCATCGTAAGAAAGTTGAAATTACCTCAGCTAACCATATAGCTAAGACACGACTGGCGAGCGTCTTATTAATTGTGGTGAAAAGCAACGGTGCACCCGGCTTCGCCAACCGAGCGCAACCCGTGATGAACGAATCGAGGTTAGCAACATGTTCGACGATTTCCGATGCAACAACAACGTCGAATTCTTAACAATTTCGGGATCAAAAAATCAATTTTGACTAACGAGACTAATAAAAAGGTGTGATGAGAGAATTATGAAAGAGAAGTGATGTTTTTGACCCATGTCTAAGCGCCACGTGTGCGCATGCGAGAGATCGGAGAGTGAGGAACGCACGACCACACTACTACAAAAGCGGACAGGAAAATTGATTGCGTCGATGGAGGCCGCGGCCGCAAATGTCGGCCACAAACATATGCAGCTATTGTGGATCGCATTGGATAGATATAAGGTACCCCACAAAATATCAAGGGAAGGATTTACTTACAGGGGAAATGGGAATACTTGTAAGATTTGCGATAGAATCAACGATGAAGGAACGTTGACTGGCGGACGAGGACACTGGCTCAACTACACTTCGACAAATGCGACGCGCGCGATCAATACGGCGCTAAACAGCACTCGGTGCGGGCCCAAAAAGGAGATGAGGCATCGACCGGATGCCAAAATGCTGGACGGAGACATTTTTACTTAACTGGATTCATTGTTATGGTATTCTACAGTATCTGTCGGGCACTACCGTCTAGTTCTCGTCCTTAACTTCAAATACAACAAGAACAGCTAAATATGCGGGCTGGCGTATCCGCCATAGCGCTCAGTGTTTAGGATTTTGTTGCGCACTGAGTTTTCGTTCTAAACGAAGCTCACAATTAATGGCATTTTCCTCGCGGCAAGTAGATCAACGAAATTCGATGTGACCGTGATAGTGCGTCTATTGGGACGCACTATCTACAATTACACATTAGGATGCATGTCGTACGTTCTCCGAACATTGGAGCAGCTTCAGCGCCCGGAATAGTAGGTCCGGTTGGGAAAAATAGGTCCAAATGGGCTGAGACCCATGCCTTGACGCTCCCATGCTAATTCCTTACCTCTCTTGCGAAGGTTGACTCCGATGACCCAAAGAGCGAGCACGGCAGCACCAGGGCATGAGATCTCCGCTCGTTTTGACCAGCTATCCCGGGTGCTGGAGCTGCTCCAATGTTCTGAGTTGGAGTTCCCCAGCAGGGTGGGTCTATTAGGTCGAAGGACGTAAGGGTCGCATTTGCTCGTCGCTTTGGGAGGAGGGTCGTATCTGGCCTCAGGAGAATTTTTTTCCAGCGTGAAAATTTTTTTTCGATAGTTAAATTTTCGCGGTTTTTCCCATTTCTGACAATTTCCCGCCCCACGCAGTTCTCCAGAGAAGAATGGAATTTTGAAAATGGTATGGAAGAGGGGAAGGGGGTCGTAGCGAGTGGGAATTACGAGGGGGGTCGTATTTTGTAAAAAATTTTCCAACGGTAGGACGTGTCGATGTTAGCATACATGGATACGAATGTTGGGCAACAGCGTGGAACTTCGAATGCCTATTCCAAAAGCCTAAAAGAGACAGAAAGTTTCAGTTTTTCAAAATAATTATCCTGTATCCTGTATCCTATTTCGGTGCCTAGCCTCTTTGTCAGGCCTGGAATTTCATTGGAGTAGTCTGGGCAAGTCAGATTTGTATATTTGGTATACTTACTGAAACAACAAGTTAAAATTTCACACCTGACGAAGTTGCTAAGCACCGAAATATTGCAAGATATTTGATTCTGAAAACCTTTCGAGACATTCGGTTCTTTTGAGCCTTTTTTAAAATAAACATTCGCCAACAATAGTTACTATTGTAGAAACCTGATTAGGGAAGTCGGTCGAGACTGATGTAATGGTTTAGAACAGAATGACGAGCGCAAGGCAACGACCACGTTTGTTCAAACAAAGCTCATACAATGGTATTTCGACATATAGGGAGAGAGCGAATTCAGATAGAACGCCTAGCAAAGAATATGAACCACCAATGACATGCGTGGGATGATGCACTATCGGCGATAAGAGCTCGAATTGTAAACACTAACACGACAATCAGTGAAAGATATGCAGCTGCAAAACGAGAGATCGTAACCTTGCAAGACTTTACAAACTTGCCCCGTTCATGATCTTTAGAGAAATCCTCCACTGTTCCACAATGATATAGAATTCGCTCAGATACACCGGTAACCTTTAAAGGTCGTGACTCAAGCGCACTGCGAGCAGCAGTCACCTAGACAACACCAATGAGCAAACAAGCTGCATACACTCCAATTCAATGAAACAGATGCCGTTGATTTTGTAAGACGTAAATCATCCAAAATCCTAAATATTAGGTTGGTACAAAAGAAATGCCGGTTCTCCTACCTAGAATCTAACTAATAAAACACAGCTTCAACAAAATTTATGCAATAGAAGTAATTGCCATAACAATCAACGCACGTCTACTAACGAGAAATGGCAATATCCTAGAGTCTGGGGTTCGGAAGCCATGAACTCATCGAAGGCAGTTTCTACAGCATCTTCGTTCCTAAGTATTTCTGCTTCAAGAAGTTGTCAAGGTGAGTGAAACACAGTAGGAGAAAGGTCTGACGAGCGCAATGGATTCTACAGTTTCGTATTTCAACTTATGCACCTTTTGTCGTGTGATCAATGAGAAGTGAGGTATAGCGTTATCATGAAGAGTATTGCCCATTTTCTATTGATCAAAGCCGGATATTTACTTCGCAGTTTTTGGTTCATTTGGTCGACTCGTTGAAGCACCTTTCTACTGTGATCGTTTCACCCTGGTTCAGAAAGTATACAGCAGACTTCTCATCTGACGGCGGGGCGGCCCTAAAAGAAGAGGCTACATCACATGGGTTCAGTCTTTGGAGATCAAAAGGTGGAAATCCTGTCGTGATATTTTCACTATAGTTAGTTGATTGACAGAATGTAAAGCCACTGGAGGTCGTGGGAAAGATTCTGTGAATGGTAACCATAGTTTCTAAGTTATTAGGTTGGTACCGAAGGAATGCAGGTTTTTTTTCCGTTTTATTATTTTCAGCGTTTTCTTCATTAAAGCAAGACTCTTTCACGAAGTACTGTACACCGCTGGAAAGCTTATTGTGTGCGTTTTCGAGTGGGTTCTGATAAGAGGAACTCGGCACGGATTGACCGAAAGTTTGAAAAGTCGTCGTTTTGAGATATCGTCGGCTGATCTTTTGCGCAATGCCAGCGGGCCTTTTCTCGAAAGGATTGTGACTTCCTATGAGAAATGGATACCTTGTGATAAAAGGAGACCGACGCTTAGCGGCCGGACCAAAAAGAAACTTCATTACATCACCCAATGCCAAAAACTCACCAAAAGGAGACGGTTTGGTGGACTGCACACCACGTATGTACAGTGGAGTTCTCATCCGACGATGTGGGAGTCCTACGGCAACTGTTGTAATGCGTTTGTAAAAGTGATGTTATACTTTTTTTATCTTCTATTGAATGCTTTCATTTAACTTCGATGCTGCTGACTAAAATCGAGCGAAATGTAATCTGGCTTCAGTAAGAATACTTTTCTCATTAAAGCCGGACGAAGGATAATTCCAGTTTTTAGAAGCTGAAAACAACACAAATCAGTTTAATGGGCGTATAATCCATTATCGATCGCGGCGGCGTCGGACCGCTTGACAACGTGGATGTAATGGGTTGATCAAAAAGTTTTGATAGGGTTGAGGTTTTTTTCTGTTTTATTTT